TTATGACAAACAAACGTGACGTCAATACCTAATGCGTCAGGGTTTTAAAATAAATTTCTTAGACATCGTCGAACTAAAATCTTAACGAAAGCCTGCTTCAGTGTCTCCCTTTCCAAAAAAAAAACGCTCATTAAAAATCGGCCATTTGTGGACCATGTGTCTGGAACTGAAAAAGGAAACACACCAGCCAAGATTATTTCCTTAGTTTCCGCCGAGACAAACAAAGTATGACGTCAATGCCAATGACATCATTTGTTGTTTGCACCGGACGTGCGCACGGGTATCAGCGGAAGTTCCGTCGACACTGAGAATTGCTCAATTTAACGTGTCCTCTGATGTCATAAGCAATGAGTATAAATGTATAAATGTAGTTTGGAACGAGCGTAGTAAGGAGTAAGAGAATTCCTCACAAAGCTGAGAAGAACTTGCGAAAAATCCAGTGACACGCAGGAGTTACTCAGGTATGGAGAGACTAAAATAAATTCAGTTTTTATGAACCAAGTGGCTTGTGAAAGATGCAATGATTCTAGGCTTTTCGTCCTAAAATCGGAAAAATTCTCTGTATTACAATCTTGAGTCTTTTTTTCGTGGAAATATTCAATAGTTGTTCGAGGACCGATTAGTGCTGACCCAAGGTTAAATTTCAACCTGGGTTTCTTTATTTCTTTATTCAAAAGCCTTTTTGAGATCATTTTCTGTATTCCTCTTGGAGCATCCAATGATTATATTCTAGACAAAAGGAATTAGACTGAATTTTATTTTTAAGCTTTCAGAACTGAAATCAGATTTTACACTTAACCCAGCTGTGAACAACCTGGCCCAGGTGCCATAAAGGACACTGGGAATTTTATTTCGATATTTTCTCAGCTGTGAGGTGTTTGTAACATTCTCTGACCTTCTTCGCCTTATTCTAAAGGACTTAAGAATTGACAATGACAGAATTCAGAATAGTGAAGAAGAATACCTGAGACTTTCGTGTACAGAAATATTACGATAGATACTAAATAGAGACTAATAAATTCTAAATTATTGAGCAGAATGCTTATTATATGTTTTTCATCTCGTACTCACAAGTAGCTCTCTTCGTATTTTAGCACATCAATAGAGAGGTGCAAAAATTGAATACCTCAATTTTTGTTTCAAGGCTAGAATAAACATGGCGAAGTGCTCTTCCAGTACACATCGACTTGAAAAACACCATCAATCCAGGCTGGAATTACAAAATGAAGGCAGAACAAACGCTGGAAAGAAGGAAAGAAGACCTCGCGGTCGATATCTGACTGACGAAATGCTGGAAAATTATCGAGTGCTGAGTCAAGAAAGAGGCATGCACAAGAGAGCGTACGATGAAGCAGCGTTCAGAGTTTACGGTACCCTACCACCTGGAGAGGGATATTTCAAAGCGGCATTGAGCATCAGAAGAGGAAGAAAATATGCGTAATTTACAACTAAACAGCAACCCTACCCATCTATCTATCTATCTATCTATCTATCTATCGATCTATCTATCTATCGATCTATCAATCAATCAATCTATCTATCTATCTAACTATCTGTCTATTGATCTATCTATCTATTTATCAATATATCTGTTTATTTATCTATCTATCTATATATATATATATATATTTATCTATCTATCTAAATATCTAACTATCTATCTATCTATCAATTTATCGATCTATCTATTGATCTATCTATCTATTTATCAATCTATCTATTTACTTATCTATCTAACTATCTATCTATCTGTCTATCTATATATTTATCTATCTATCTACTCATCTATCTATCTATCTATCTGTTTATCTATCAATTTATCGATCAAACAATCAATCTATCTATCTACGTACCTATTGATCTATTTATCCATCTATCTATCTATCTATTTATTCATCTGTCTCTCTATATCTATTTACCTACCTATCTGTCTATCAATCAATCTATCTATCTATCTCTTTAGCAATCTATCTAACCAGCAATCAATCTATCTATCTATCTTTCTGTTTGTCTGTCTGTCTGCCTTTCTATCTATCTATCTATCTATCAGTCTATCTATCAATCTATCTATCCATCTATCTATCTTTCTGTTTGTCTGTCTGTCTGTCTGTCTGTCTGCCTTCTATCTATCTATCTATCTATCTACCTATCTGTCTATCTATCGGAATGTATTCTTCTTACTTCAAAGCTCTGTATAAGAAATAGATTCCTTGTTGTCATGCGACTGTTCAGCAACAGATCCCATATGACGTCAAAATGTGGTAAGAACTACAAAATGGCACACGAGGTGCGCGTAGCCGAGTGTGTTACTCATGTTTTTACAACATTTCGATCTCTTCTGTGATCTATTACTGTACGGGATCACGACAACATAGAATTAATTTGTTTCATGTAATAAAAAAGCACAATGTTTTTAATGTTGACGTGATATATGCATCTCCCCTCCAATAGATCATAAGTAAGAGCCAATCAAAATATGTGTATCATTCAGCTTGGTATGATTGTTTTTTTAATTATGATCAAATCCACCTTACAATACTAAGACTTACACTACTTTCGATATAATACGATCACTTACGCTATTAACAATACAGATGCTTACATTACTTACAGTACAATACAATAACTTATGTTGCTTTAAACTACTTACACTGCAATACGATTATTACAGCCACTTGCAAAATAATTCGATGGAATAAAATCTGCTTTGCCGAAGGACTCACGTTTAATTTGTGTATATCGTTAAACCACTTTATAATACTTGAATAAATCGAAATAGAGACATCACACTCTATAAATGTAAGTAAATGTATGTATTATTGAATCTTATTCAGCTTATTTTATAAATGCGTATTTAACGAAGATAGGAAGGGTCAGCAATAGCACCTTTTTTGTTTGAAGGAATAAACCTACGTCAAAACGGGTTAAGAACAAAAAGATGGAGTACAGCTTAGCGCGTCTAATGTTCTTACGCATTTTACGACCTCCTCCTAAACAGAGTCAGGGTAAAATTGAGTCTATTGATTTTATTGTCGTGTAAGTTTAAAAGTTTGACAACGGTGACGTCATCCATGCGTCTGTCCTGCAATAAATAATTACTGAGGAACTAATCAAAAGAGTTGTTTAATTAAGCTTGGATAAAATCACATTTAGAGTGGGAGGTTCTACATTAACTTCACAATAAGTTTGGCAAAAATGGATAAATTAAAAAACTTTGGAGAGGCTATAACCTGATAGGTCGAGTAAATGGAATCGAGGCTAACTTACTGGTTCACACCCTTAGAAAATAATAATTAAGTCTATAAAGGTCCCAGTGTTATCTTATCTTTCTTTCCGTTTCTTTTTCCCTTTTTTTTAATATGGCAATTAATTGAGATTTATGCACAAGCAGGTATATCCCATTGTTATGAATTTAGACTTTTAGCAGGTTTTCGAACATTAATTTTATCAATTTATTAATTAAGGGCTAATTTTTGGAGTGTTTTTCAGGTGAACGGAAGCGTGTAGGCATCTCCTCCCTTCAGATTGTCTCACCGTTACCGCTCACCTTAAAATTTTCCTAAACAGTGCTCTACTATCTCCTCCCCCCCTCCCCTCTCTCTTTCCCCCTTCCCCTAAACTGTTTAAAGAACAGTCCTCGATTGGTAGCCGACTGTGTAAATGTCAGCGGTTTGCGGGGAAACCAGTCCCTCCTCAGGCAGTTTTGGAATATGGCGGCGTGCCTTAGTGAAAGAATGCGCTTTCAAAGCAGAGTGGCTGTTTTCGGTATTCCTCCTTGGTAACTGAACCTAATTTTCAAGATCGAAATATTATTACAGAAGCGAGGGGCTATCATCGAAGAAAGGTGAGAGAACGCATAATTTAGTTGTTCCTTTAGAACTACAACGTCAGATACTGCTACGGAAAAAGTTTCTTCGCGTATTTGATCCCGATCGTTTGATTAATCGTGTATTTAGATACAGGAAGTAGTTTTAGCGCCAGTTATGCAGTTTCTTTTGAGAATTGTGTGACCTAAAGAGTCTCCAAAAGCAAAAGGGGCCCGGTAAGGGCTTTAAATATATTTTATGGAACGAAGTAAAGAATATTTATTCGGCTGTCGTAGTAAAATCTGAGGGGCTTTGCTTTGAGACAAACAAGCCTTTTTATCGTTAGCTACTTTGCTTCTGGTTTGCAAGATATTCGTTAATAAAGATATGTTAATTATCATATGCTGTAAATAAACTAAAAAATCAAAGCTAGATCTCAAATCCGTAAATATGGGTTGTTTTAGTTCACATACCGTAAAGTGTTCAAGCTACCATTAGACGGAATATTGGCATATTGCAATCGTGTAAAATCTGAGTAAACATCTGTTTTCAGGGAATAACGCTGACATATGTAATTTATTTTTAAGTGGAAATTTTAATTGGTAGCTAAGTTTGAATTAAAAGAGAACCCAAAGCAACTGTATGAAGTTTTTTAACCAGTAAATTGTAAACTAAATTAGTTTAATGCTGGTTACTAAACAAGCCCAAACATGAAACATGGAAATGATTATTCTGTCGCTGATTCGGTAAATTTGTCCATCATCTGTACATGAGTCGACTTTATTTGTGAATTGTTGTTATTCTGTTATAATTGTAGGGTTTTTATGAAGAAATTGAATGAGAGGAGGATAGTGTGAATTGACAGAAAAATATACTTTGTACTGTTCAGGAACTTCAGCTCCATGAATTTAAAAAAAAAATTTAAAAAACAGTTCAGGACATTTGAATTAGACCAAAAATTTTGTGTAGTTGGAACAGAATTAGATTCAATCTCTGTTAGCTAATAAACATCCTGTCTAGATATCTTTAAGTGCCTCTTTACTCCTATACAGATAAATATATGAGTTATCCTTGTGATTCTAATGTGTAATCAAAATTATGACAAAATATTTTGATGTGATTGGTTATCACTAACCTGATTAAGCACAGTGTATCCATCATGCTTACAATTAGACAGTGTACATGTTACAGCTGTGTAATTGGACAAAACCTGTCATGTTTGCAAGCTCTTGTGGTGCATTTTACCAAATAAATTGTTGTTTCTAAGGGAAAGGATGATCATATGCGAGTTAATTTCTCGGAATTTTGTCATAGTATTGATTAATATGTAACCAGACTTGATGTCATCCAATTCTGTTTGTAATGAAACTCATAATTAATTAACTGGACTCCCACTTCATGGTCGTCCAATTTTGTCAATCAGATTAACCCTTTGACTCCTGTGAGTGATCAAGACAGAATTTCTCCTTACAATATCAACACAATATCAACCAGAGAGGTGATGAGAATACAGAAAAATATCAAATTGGGTTTAACTAGTTGATCCAATACAAAATTCTCTGAAGTAACATTATAAGACAGTAAGGAGAATTACAAATTTGATCTGGGAGTTAAAGGGTTAAAGACTCAATTGGACCCCCCTCAAACCTATTATCTCACAAACAGCCTATCAGAAAAGACAAGCTTATCAGTGAGGTTGAATATACCGCTGCACCTGGAAAGTGTTCTGGATAGTTTTCAGGTCATGGTTCTTGGACCTCAGTATTTCTCTTTACTCCTTATTTTTGATTTTCATTCCATGGAACCTGGTTCTGCTAAACATGTTTTGTTGGTGTGAATGGGATATTAGTCAGACCATTAGGTGAGGAGAAACAATTTGGTGCCTAGCTGGTAGATAAGATTGTGTGTCATAAAAAAATACTACAACAAAAAAAATTGCTAGTGAAGAAAGACAAAAACAAAAAGAAACAGAATGTATCTTGTGTCTTCAAGGTTTTTTAGGTTTCCTTTTTCACTAGAGGGCTTACATTTTAGTGAAAAATTTATTCCAGGCTGAGAAATTTCATCAAATCATGGAATGGAGAAGTTAAAATTTTGAACATTATATTATTAGCCCTTCAACTTCTAAGAACTGATTATGGATTTTCCCCTCTGACTGCTACACATTTTGTTGTAAATTAGGTGTGATAATTTTGTGTTAGGCTAAGATAGCAACTTCTGCCTGATGAGTTTGAATATTCTTGTGACTTGTTTGCTGGATAATGTGTGGATGTTATAGGGGAGAAGCTACATGTTAATCACTTACACACTGGGAGTTTAAGGGCTAGGAAAAGATAAATGTGTTTTGTATCACTAATAGACATTGCTATCCCATTTCTTTCCTGGTTATAGGTCATGCACTCCAATACTCCTTTTAACAGAAACTCTATGGAGAATGCTGAGTCATACCATGAAGTCTTTAAAGTTCTTGATAGCCTAGGGATGGCCGACTTAAAGGAGACTTTCCAGGAACACTGTATTCAGGTATTTAATAACTGCATGTACACATAGTGACTAAACCTTCTTGCTTGCAGTTACAGAGCCACTTAGGAAATGTGCCATTGCTTTAGACAAGAGCTACATTTAATGTTTACACATTAATATATAAGTACAATCTGATACTTGATGTTTCAAGTACTTATTTGAATGTTCTACCTACATGTATGTAGTGTGCATGTGCATGCGTGTGTAGGTTACTCTGTGCAGCTTTACAATTGTAATACGTTTTTCTTCCAAAGGACCAAACTTTACGTTATGTCGAAACAGAAGATGAGCTCAAGCAATTACTGAGGGTAAGGCTGATCTTTTTAATTGTTTACTTTTGACTTGATCATGATGTGAAGCAATGTTGAAACCCTGTCAAAAATATTAACTACAAATTGTTTTCAGATGTTTTATTTCTCTCTTAATAGTGTTCCAGCTTTGAACTCTGCAATCCAATGTTTCTTGAAATCACCCCCCAATATAAAATTTGTTGGTTACCATAAGTGACTTTTAATGCGCTGTAGACAAAAAATGATTGGCCTTATTGATTAATTATTTATATGCATTATAATACAATTCTGTATGGTTCATCCAATGTACATGTTTTCTTTTCCTCATTCTTAACTTGGCTATAACCAACATACCAGCAATAAATTTAAGAGGAGTTTTATGTCTTTACAACTCAATCAAATTCCTCTACTTACCCATCATTGCCAGTGGTTTCTAAATAAAGTGTTAAAAACATAATAAATCAAGGAGGGGGGGAGAGAAAAATGATTACAAGATTGGAAATAACATAGAATATATGAATGACATGAGAAATACTAATCACATAGGAATACGAAACACTCACTAAAATGGCAATTTACCTGATAATTTTGGAAGATGTCTGGCATAGGAACGTACTCATGATTACATTTTAACTCAATCTCACACCTTTTATTTGCATGATCTGCATGAAAGTCAAACTAAAAAGGTTGGCTGCAGGGACTGAAGCTAGGAAAGGGATCGGTCTCTACATTGGCTATACCTATGGTCGCCAATCTTGCAGTTGTGTGTCATGTTTCATGGGTTACTAGGCTGCGCTTGCATTACTGCAATATGCATGTACAGTTAACTTTTCCACTCCCAGGATCTCATTAGTAATTCTCCTTGCTGTTTGCCACACAATATTTAAGAATTGAGTTTAGAGGATTTGTTTTGGATCAACTGCTAATCCCCATATTGATATTTTTCTTTATTCTCAATTCATTTGACAGCTTAATATTGTATTGATATTGTAAGGAGAAATTCTGTCTTGGTCACTCATTTGTGCTAAACAGTTTACAGTTCATTTGATAGCTTTATATTGTTTTGATATTGAAGGAGAAATTCTATCTTGGTCACCCATTTATGCTAAACAGTTTATGTGTGGCAAAGGGTTAATATCCAGTGTCAGCAATGTGCCAAGTTGACTATCCCACTGTATAATATACAAATGCAAATGTCATGGTTAGAAATAAGGTTTGATCAATTTGATGAGTTCAAATTTGATCAACATTAATCTATTGTCATAGAGAGTTTGAATACATGTAGAGCTGAAAATGAAAATCCATAGCTGGCCAAAACCAAGTGCTAATCTTGCCATTTTTTAGTGTACTACTTTTATATCATTTTACCATTGTGATAATTTCTGATAAAAAAATATTGTACAGCTTCATCAAAGAAATTTGTTCACAGCCATTTTCCAGTTATGTGTTGTTGTGAGTTCTTAATATGTGACTAGTAGTAACAGAGTTAGATTTGTGAATCAATTTCATGTTGATTTATTACCAGTCCTGCATCAACCCTTTAACTCCCTGAAGTGATTCACATTTAACTTCTCCTTACAATTTCCCTCCACTATCCAGCAAACAGGCATTGGAGTACTCAAATGTGTTGGGAAGAAGTTGTCATCTTGATCTAACACAAAATTCTTGCAACTAACTTACAAGGAAATGTGTAGTCACAAGGGGGTAGAATTAACAATAAGATCCTAGCAATTAAAGGACATTGTGTCTGTTTGCAGGAGATAGGTATTCCTCTTGGACGCTGTATTCCAATCATGAAGTCCTGGAGGAAACGTTATTCCAGTCAAGGTGAATAAAATCAGGATAGATTTAAACTGATTATGACACACTTAGTTACTACAACTTTACCTAAAACAGCAAGCTTTCTTTCACCATCCAGTGCACATAACAGGTATTTTTATTTGAGTAATAAGACAACTAACATCTGATCGGCTACAAACAAGTGCATTCTTGTGTAAAACAAGTGCAAAGTTGTAACATGGGTGCAAGTTTAAAAAAAGTGGGCACACTTTCAAAGTTTTGTCTGTCTTGACTTTCTGTGATGTTTTTTCATGTACATTATAAACAAGCAATGACCTGTTTTCTCTTGCAATTAGGTGAAATAAGCACTTTTTCAAAGTCTGCAAATTGTATTCGCCCTAAGGGCTTCTGCAATTTTGTTGTCTTTGCAAAGATTTACTCATGTTTATTTTCACCAAATTGCACTCAAAATCATGTTATTACCCATACAAAGAGGCTGAAGGAGACCATACGCTGCACGGAAAGCTGAGAGGTTTAACACTTTCACTTTAAGGAGTGAATGATAAGTAATTTTCAATAGGGAAACTTTTTTATTGAATGTCATAAAAAACAAACAAGAAACCAAACTAATCACAATGGCCAATTAGAAGAACTGAAGATACCTTTAAGAGCCAATGACCTCTTAAAGTGAATACAACCAAACTGCCTTAAATGGGGTGAAACGCTGGCCACCAAGTCATGATGGGTTATAGTTTTACATCTGAATGGTTGAGAGAGTGGTGCAAGTTTTCTGGACCAATCACAGAGCAAAGTAAACCTAAATTGAAGCTATCACAGGTCACTCTTGACACTCATAAAAATTTCTCTAACAATACATTCAATTGTCAATCTGAAAGGTTATGAGAAGAAAGAAATATGGTTTTGGTACTTTTTGTGCTGATATTCAACCTCAGCCAAAAACACAACAAGAATCATGAAGTAGGACATCAATGTTTGCTTGCTTCTGCTCAACCATGACTAAGATTTTCCCCTTCATTATTTCCTTCTTTCAAGTGTTCCCTGTTCATATCGTTCTGCGTTATGTGCAGTACTTGAAAAACTTTCAGAATAAATATTATTACGTACTCTTAACTATGACTCCTTTTTGTCTTTTTAGAAACAGTAAGGAGGAAAGATAAAGTTTCAACTGCTGAGAATTACTCACAGACCTCCACAGTTACTGTGGACGCGAGCATACAAACTGAAGATATGTTAATTAGTGCTGCTGAGTATAACAAATTGCTTAACAATATGGCAGAGCTTAACACGCAACAAGAGCTTCTTAATCATTATGCTGCTCTGGCTAGTGGCGAGTTTAATTTAAAACTGACGGAGGCACAAAGTGGCTCCCTCACCTCTGCTCAGGTCCCTTCTTCGTATGGTACACAGTCCTTGGACCCTTATACTGCTGCGCAGCTGTGGTCCAACCTAAGTCAGTACCAAGATCAATTTAATATGTATGGAGGCTTCCTGCAGGCAACCACAGCTAATGCTCCAGGAGGTATTATCCCGGACGGTATCGGGAGTGAGGCGTCTACAGTTATTTATAATCAAAATATGAATGATGTCAATCATATGATGGTACCATCTGCACCGTCTCCTGTACCTTCTCAAGATATGGGACAATATCAGAGAGTGACAGCCAATGTCTCTGAGCGTAAGGATATTGTTGATGAGAGAGAAGACCTGGCTATTGAGCAGTCGTTGAAAGACGTAGAAACTATGGAATTAGAGTCTCAACATTCGTATGCTTCAGCTCTTAATACTGGTGAGTGACTTTAAGCCAGGACCAGGATCAATTCAGACTTGGTCTCGTATATGATAGCTTGCTGAGCGAGCAGGCGTCCTATTGTGGCGAGTTCATTTAAGCGAGTACCCAGCGTATTTCTTACGTGCCTTTACATCTGCGTATACAATAAAGCTCGCAATCGTTTATCCGATGTAGAGTTTGAGTGGACTGTGGGGGAGGGGGTGGTGAAAGGTGAGAAGATTAATTTCTTTTACCTTATTTCTTTTGTCCCATCACCTCCCCTCTCCTTCCTTTCGACTATCGCTTGTCTCTTGCGCCTTTTATCAAGTAGCTTGCTTTCCCCAGCCTTCCGCTGCTGAAAATTAAGAGATGGTGGCTATGATTCTACTACGTATCTACTCAGCAGGTTACGTATTCACAACCTTTTTTGTATTATTTTATCATTTATCCAGTATTACCACCATAACTTTTCCCCTAACATCACCGCACACGCTTGTTAATCTAACTGTACCATCAACACAGTTTTCAAATTTAAATTATTCTCGATGTCTTTACAGAGGCAGCAGACCTTAGTCAAGACAGCCAGCATAATTATGGTTCAATCACTGAGCAGACCTCTTATTATATGCAGTCGAGTCAAAGAACACCTTCAACTTATACCAGTCACTCTCAAGTCCGTCCCACCCAAACCACAGCAAGACCAGTGCCGTCTGAAAAACTCGACACCAGTCGCTTTGCCAAATGTGATGACATATCTTTGGAGAGCGGAACATCAAGGCTTCCATCAAGTGTACAGAGTGTGGGACCACAAACCCTGCAGGGATATTTAGATAGTTTACCAGAATCGAACGAATACAAGGAAGCTATGAAGAGTAAAAACCCCAAAAAAGGATGGAAACCAATTGATGGGAAACATATTCAGTCTGCGAAAAAGGTGGCTTTCAAACCGGTATACTGGGATAAAGAAGGGCGCATGCGCCATGGGGTAGCCGTCAGGGGATCAGATAAATCCGAGGAGTGCTGGCGCCATGTAGAAGGAAAAGCTCCGGCTGGCTGTACATTTGCACACTCTCGTCTGGGTGACACCCTGCAGTTTATTTGCGTCAAGTGTTCTTATGAGAGGAACCGTAATGACTGGTGCTCAGACAAGACAAAGCATAAACAATATATATTTAATCTCGGTCCGTATCGTAACTTAGAAGGTGGAGTATGGAAGAAAATTTCTTAAAATAACACAAGTGCTGGGTGCTTGCTAGAAAGCTTGCTTTACAGCGCATACTGTACAGGTGAATTCTATCAATGGACTGCTTAAGAGCATTTTTCATTTGAGTATCGAAAAACCAAAACCAAAATTATTTCATCGACCCGTCAGAGCAAAGGTTTACTTTATAATTAGCCAATGAGAACTCAAAGTGGAAATAAGCAAATTGACCGAGTCGCAATTGTTTTTAGTTTTGCATCTGATTGGTTGAGAGGATGTTGCGATTTTTTTGGACCAATCACAGAGCAAGTTTCAATGAAACCAAACAAATCCTTGATTATTTTCGACACTCGATTGGAAATTCCTCTCCTCCAGTTATGGGCGAATAATTATTATATTTCGATTTTTTTTTCAGCATATGAGAGAAGGTTCTAGTAAAATATGACGGCTGGTGTGGTACATATGTGCCAGGACAAGGTTTTGGGCTTGGGTTTTAAGGTTTGTCGTTTGTGTGATGCTTAACTTGACATAATGAAAAATTTATGCACAAAAATACCAAAAGAATAATAATAAAGAAGAAGGAAAAGGGTCGCGTAGATAAACAGAAAATGAAAACTACACAAAAGGTTCTCTACACAGGTTACATCGCAACCACTGACAGTGTTTTCTGTTGCTACAGAGGAATTTTGAAGACAGACTCCCAAACTGTGTAGAAATAGTTAAGCTTTCATATGCATATTCAGGTACTAAAGATAACTTTTTCCTTTCCTATTCTTTTTAAATTATGTAGTTAGTCTTCCTAGTCATCTCGGCATGTTTAAAGTAGGATTTTCACTTGAAAATGAGGCCAAAATGGCCTATTTTCGTACGCATGAAAGAGTAATTGGGCTGGTGTATGAAGAAAGAAGTCTCATGATGGTGGTGATCATTGGTTAAGTGTTGGTATTGATTTACTCTTTGTTATGATGAGGAATATTTGTTGATGGTGAGATTTTAAAGTGGCCCTTCGCCATCTTTTGAGTCGTTTTTAAGATGCTGGTTGTTTTCATACAGTAATGAAACCGAAAACAAGCATTTTTCGAGGATAAATGAACACCAAAGGGATGGTAATAGAGCGATAGGAAAAAAGATACAGGGTTGAGTATTTAAAAGGATTGCAAAAAGGATAAAGGTTGGAGTATTTATAGGGATAGCTGGTGTCAAACAAGCGATAACCATGTCGGTCTCGGAAGCTCAAAGCCCAGATGTGCTGATCAAATAAATTATCATAATTATTATTATTATTATTATTATTGTTGTTATTATTATTATTATTATTATTTCTATTAGTATCACTATTTTTGTTATCATTATTATTAGTATTATATTTTATATTATTATTCTTTCAGTGTTCAATTTTATTAGTGTGTCATTTTACTTCATTGATCATTTCATGGTTCTTATCTTATTACGATTATTGTGGTGTTGCACTTTGTCTGAGAATCGGATTTCAATCTTTGATAAATCTGAAAAATATTTTAAGCGATTTAAAAAAAAGAAATTTAAAGCGACTCACTCTTTGCAGAGAGACAAGTATCATGTAGGATTGCAACTTTTTTAGATACATTGCCTTTTTGGTGTACATGTGGACCTCTGGAAACGCCTTAAACACGCTTTGAGCGTGATCACAGTGCAGGACTACGGTACAATAAGCTGATTATTGGAATAAATATTTTTCACTCCTGACACCAGTTACATTTTATTTCTTTGCTATAGTGCCCCAAATCATTAAAGTACTTTGTCTCGCAATACTTTTCTTGTTAAAACGAAAACATGCTGCTCTGGGATGCTACAATTTGCTCTAGTAAAGAATTAAATACTTGGAGATGGTAATTTACCAATCACAGAATTAATCACAATAACCATAGCAACAACCACTTATCCTGAAAAAAAAATTTGGAATTTCCAAAATGGGGGGATTTTTTCTAAAGACATTGTCTCCCACGGAGATATGTGTCCTAAATGTATTTGGTTTTTGGGGGAATTGTAACGGGTTTGAGTAATTGGTAACAGAAGGTTGAGTCTTCTGATTCCAATTGAAAAAAAATCGAACTCCCGCCTAGCGATCGTCCGATTTTGTTTATTACTTGTATGATTACAGACCGAACTGGACTCCACTCAGCCTATTACCAAAAGTAATCATAACCATTATAATTTCCTCAAATGTGATTGGTGCATCTGCTGCTTCATTTTTCACTATTCATTCTGTACAGTTGTAATCGGACATTTGGCTGTAATCGGACAGTTGAAGCAGCCAATCATACTAGGTCCATTCAGCTAAATCCACCGATCACAGAATTGGTCACAACAACCATGGCAACAACCATTTATCTAAAGAAAAACAAGGCAATTTACAAAATGGAGGAATATTAAACTAAAAACATTGTCCGCACTGGAGAGATTTGTTCTAGGTGTATTTGTTTTTTCGGAAATTGAAATGGTTATGATTAATTGGTAACAGGATTTCTTGTCGTCAATTCTGTCTGTAATCATACTCGTGATAAACAAATCGGACTCTTGCTTCGCGGTCGTCCGATTTTG